GAGCGAATGGAACTGAAGTTACCAAAGGTGGGAAAGAGAGAGTGGGAGAGTGTTAAGGGAAGAATTTGTAAAGGGCCAGGAAAAATGATGACATTGTATAGTGTTGAATATACTAATTATCCTGATTTGAGCATCACATATTACATAAAGTTACTGATATTCATCTCTCTATAACTCACAGATATGTACTATCAAGTATGTTACAATAAAAAATGAAAAGAAAATCCTATAAATAATTTTGTGCCAATAAATTTGAAAATAAAAGGTAATGATAATTGTATAGATAATGTAAATTTACAAAGCTGATTATAAAAAAGTAATAGTATGTTTTTGGACCAGTAGAACAGAGCAGTGTCCAGGTAAACACACACACACACACAGAGGAATTGTGACATATGACAAAATCCACATTAAAAATCATAGTAAAATGATAAACTCAATAGAGTTGGACAATTGTTATCCATATGGAATGGGTACCTTACAATGAACACAAAAATAGAGTCCAGGTGGATTCAAGTACTCAGTTTGAAAAGCAGAACTTTACAAACCTTTTATAATTTGCAGATTAGGAATGTTATCTTAGAAAATTCGTAAAGAACACAAACTTAGCTTGATATGGCCAATTTTCTACTGTTCTCTGCCCTATTGTATGACTTGGGGGCTCACTGAATGGATGGAAAAAGCACAACCTGGCCCTTTGGTTTTTAGTTGGGCTTGACAGGTGGGATCACTGACAGCAGGAAACTGAGGCTGGACTGGCTACTCTTCTCGTTCCCTTACTACCCGCTGCAGTGGGTTGTCTGTGCCCCTCTGAGGTCGGCCACAGCTCCCTCTGGTCGTCCCTCTCCTTCCAGCTGTTCTCTGCAGGTGCCAGGACAAGCTCTCTACTTTTGTTTCTTCCTTGCTAGGAGTGCTTGCCCTTGGATACTTGTTCTGTCCCTTGTTGATTTCCCTAAATCCTGACCATATCTTTGTAACTGTCCCTTTATTAAACTCTCCACAATTTCATAAGTTTATCACATGTTTTTTTTTTCCAAGACTCTGGCTGACCAATCAAAAAGAAAAAGAGTAATGAAACTGATCTAAAACTTCTGTATAATAAAACAACCATACCAACACAGGGAGAAAGGAAGGGAGGGACGGAGGGAGGGAGAGAGGGAGAGAGGGAGAGAGGAAGGGAAGGAAGGAAGGAAGATTTTTGTAATGCCTATACAAAGAATTATTATCCAAAGTACATAAAGAACTACCAATCAATAAGAAAAATGGGCAAGAGATATAAACAGAAAATTCATAGATGTGGAAACCAGAAAAGTAAAAAAAAAAATCAAAATAAAACAAAGAGTTACAATTTTTTGGTCCCCACACAACTTCTGATCCCGGTTACATCTTCTCCCCCTGGAAAAGATGGAGGCAAGAGTGAAGAGACAGAGAAAAAGATGTGTGGATGGGGACAGACAGGGGCGAGAAGTGAACTGTGGGAGCTCATCGCTGGTGGTCTCTACTTGCTTAGAGGGCGAGAGAGAGAGAGAGAGAGAGAGAGAGAGAGAGAGAGAGAGAGAGGCGTAGCTGCTATGGGACAGGGAGACGCATGGACTGCTGAGGTCCAATGGAGGGTGCAGGCTGGGGACGAGCAGTCCCCTGCCTCTGGGTTTCTTCTAGACCAAACTGCCTGCATCGTTTGATCCAAACTGACCTTCCCCCCAAACCCCACCCTTCTCTCCATAAAATTGTAAACTTCTACCGAACTGGGCAACTCCTAATTCTTTTTTTAAAATGTAAATTGCCTCTTGCTAGTAATTTATTGCTATTTCTAGGTCCCAAAATACTTCTGTTGATAGCCATGGTTATTTCAAAGCATATTTTTAAAAAATTTTTTGGCAGCTGGCCAGTACAGGGATTGAACCCTGGGCCTTAAACCCCACCCTTCTCTCCATAAAATTGTAAACTTCTACCGAACTGGGCAACTCCTAATCCTTTTTTTAAAGTGTAAATTGCCTCTTGCTAGTAATTTATTGCTATTTCTAGGTCCCAAAATACTTCTGTTGATAGCCATGGTTATTTAAAAGCATATTTTTAAAAAATTTTTTGGCAGCTGGCCAGTACAGGGATTGAACCCTGGGCCTTGGTGAAATCAGCACTGCACTCTAACCAACTGAGCTCACTGGCCAGCCCTTTAAAAGAATAATTTTTTTAAGTGTTGGAAAAGAAATAATGGAGTGAAATAAATATCTTGTCATTGTTAGAGATAAATCAATAGGATATGCAAATAAAAATAAATCTTTTTAACAAAAAAAGTAGGCCCTAGCTTTCAGTATTTTAATAATCCATGTATCTCCTTGGAGGTTAGGACTAAGGATTTCCATACACAACTATAAAATTCATCAATTACCTTTATTTTGTTATCAGAGCTCCAAATTTAGTTCACTGCAACAAGCTGTTAAGCACCTATTAGATCCAAGATACTGTGTTTATGAGTAGGGAGAGAAAGGAGTTGCACAAAATACAGGAAGCCTTTGGCTGTAGAAATGTCATATAATGCTTGTACATAAAACAGCATTATTCTGAGTAATTTCAATCTCCAGTAGTCTGCACTTTTCCCACAGGCTTGGAGGTAAATATATGATCCCCAAAAAGGTGCGTTTTCCCATTGCAACTGACCTTCGGGTTTGCTTAAAGCAACCCTGCAGTTCCTACGGCCTCACCTTTGTTTAATGAGAGCCATTTCCTAACGCTAACGTTGGGTTAATGGACTGAGATGGGAGAAAATCAAATGTGTCTCTCCATTTGACACCAGATTGCCTTTCTGCCTTGTGGCTTTAATCACTCAATCCTACTCCCATCTGCCATAATAACAATTATGGGTTTTCTACTGCCTTTTTACCCAGGAGGATATGTCAGAGTATAGCAACATTTCCCGAAGAAAGGAAGGGCAAATTCTTAATCTTTTTCCAGCATTGTAGGTAATAATTTTCCTCTGCAAACCCGCAAGGAGTACTTCTTTAGGCTCTCACACCCACCATTTCCACAGGTTTGTGGCTCTATTCTGATTTATAAGTTTTCTTCTATCCTTTCTCTTCTGAGATAAGTTCTAATTATGTAGACAGATTGTAAAAGTCTCTTTCTTCTTGTAAACAACTATTTCTTTGTTGCTAGTAGATTTTGTTTAACTGGTTTCCTCCTTTCTAAATCTTCTTATGTACCCAGGAATTACGTCTGTTCATTGTTTAACTGCAGCTTCAAGAGAAGAGAAAGCTGGCTTCTTTTCATAGCTTCCCTTGAGGGATTCAATCTTAGAACACCTCAAATTACAAATCTCCCTTGGGAAATGTTCTTCGTTACATATATTTGGAAGCCATAATATTTTAGTTTTGATTCAACATAAGAGCAAAGAATCAACCATCAAATAAGCAGTATGATACTACTCTCAGTTCTTCTACTTATTTAAGAACTTTCTTTACTACCCAAATCAAGAAAATCCTTGAAATCCTCAAAAGCACGGGTGAAAATGTTAATAGTGGCCCCTTCCTCAGGGGACTCAGAAGTGGATTTGAGAAAGCCTCTCAGGTGACACTGACAACCACGGCTCTTAATCTGGTCCCTCCAGGTAATAGTTAACATATAAAGAAAAATAAGTATTTATGATACGACTATTTTCTTATCCTGCATAAAAACTTTTAACTATTTGGTGGCCTTTTTTCTAATCAGATTATTCTAATTCCTTTCATACATTCGCTTCTAATTCTGACCTCAAACATTACCTCTGAAGCCTGTTTGTATGAAAATTGGTTTTGCCAAGAGCAGCTAAATATTATTCTTTAACCAGCCTAGCAATTTCCCACAGCAGTTTTTAACTTTTAACTGGAACCCCACCAAACACCTCTTAAACAGGCTAAACCAATATTGTCCCTCAAAGACTCACCTTGAAGATTTTGAGACATATTGGCAATAAAAGATATTTTTTAGACAGAGTAATGTGTGTGATGTCTTCACATTGAAGAAGCATTTATTCAGCTCACCTGGAGGAGGGGTAGTCTGTGGCCAAGGACTCTGGCCAGCCTTAGATACAGAGTTGTGACCTTGGCCCAATCATCTGGCTGCTAAACAGGTGAGATCACCATGCAAGTTACTGCCTGCTTGTACGGCAGTTCACAGGGCAGAGGAATTCTTAACTTGGGTTTTGATGAAGGTACATGAACACAGTGGCATTTTGTACCAGATTTTGTGTGTGTTTATATTTCTCTAAGGAGAGGGTTAACATTTTCATCAGACTCTCAAAAGTGGGGTGACTTTAAAAAAAGTAAAAGACTAAGATTACATTAAATGAGATTTTTCTAAAAAAAAAAAGTCATTTCAGTATTTTTTAAAAATAAAAACCTTTTATTACTGAGGTATATTTCTTTAATCTAAGGTAGATTTCAGTAATCCCGTGTTATTGTGAGAGGGGTCCTTGAACCTTTTAATTTCTATCCTTTTATGCCTCTGAAGGATTTTAAATGTACCCTTTCAGTTGGAGAAATCTGTTACTTTTATATGAGAGGCAAATGATAGATTAAATCCTCCATTTTTGAATTTTATATATTTTTAAGATATGAAGTTATTTTTCTCTAAGTTTTACTATCATGTTTTTCAAAACCCATTGTTTATCAAACCACTCTGTAGTTCTTCCTCCTTGCAATCATTTTAAGGTAACCCAAACCTTACTTTACTCTTTACAGTACAGGTGAGCTTAAGTCTGGCCAAACTGTACCTAATTAGATGTTAGCGTGTTACTTATTAACTGTAGGATAATACATTCCTTAGATAAGGTAAGAGTATACAATAGAAAATTGCCATTCTAAGGACATCTACCATAGTCTTTTCTGTCTTCAGAGCGTTTCAGCATGTGTAAGTCTTCAGTGTTGTTGATATGCTGCATATTTATACCATTGTTGGGAATAAATGTTGTCAGACATGTACAGTATGGATTTTTTTTTTTAATTCTAGGCTACTTTATGGAATGGGCCCTTAAGAAAACAAGAACGGATTGAAGCATTATAGGAAAACAAATTATGTGATCTTCAGATTCAGGAATGAGTAGAAATGCAGCCATCTGAACTGGTCATGAACCCCAAACAAGTCTTCCTCTCTGTGCTGATATTTGGAGTAGCTGGGCTTCTCCTCTTCATGTATTTGCAAGTCTGGATGGAAGAACAACATACAGGTAACACATAAACTTTATTCTGTTTTAATTATAACAACAATAGCCATTTTCAATTAAATAAGCTGTGATGTTTATAGACATGAGGGTACTTCCAAAAGTTCATAGAAAAATAAAATTAAAAGATAGTAAGAATCTTTCCATGAAGTTTTTGAAGTACCCTCATATATAGAAAATCACAATATATCCAACAACCAAAAAAATGAGTCACAAACTAAAATTCCCAGCTCCTAAAAGAAAGGACGATTATATAATTCTAGTGGGCACCTGCTTCATGGCTTAACACTTGGAATTTTTGTTATCTCAGTGGGAAGCAGCAGTACACTGTTAGCACAGCAAAGACTGCTTGCAGAGAATTTGTCTACTCAAAAGTGTAGCATTTATCCTACCTCTCGTGCATCCACTGAGCATCAGGCAGAAGCCTAAAAGGAGCCAAATATACAGCAACCTCTCTTTTAATACCTTCTTAATTTTTGTGATGATACTCATAACTGGTGTAGATATTCTTTAATACCTTTGCTATAAAGCAGGGGTCGGCAAATCTTTTCTGTAAAGGACTAGACAGTAAATATTTTAGGCTTTACAGGGCACACCATTTCTATCACTACTACTCAACTCTGCCAGTGGGTCACAAAAGCAGCCATAGATTACATATAAACAAATGGACCAGGCTGTGTTCCAATAAAACTTTATTTACAAAAACAGGTGGTGAGCCATATTTGGTTCACAGGCAATGGTTTGCCAATTCCTGATATACTCATCTTGCACTTTCATCATGCAGTGTGCAATTGCTGCACATTGGAGGCATTGAATTACTATTAAAATGGATTATATTTATAATGATAATAGTGCTATTAAAGGAAATGTCTTAGAACATCCTAGAAGTTTATACATATACCTGTTGTGAAATTCTGTTGTTTTCTTATGGAAGCAGTAAGCTATGGCTTATGGCTGTTAAGGAAAATAAAGTAGAAACAGAAGAACAGTTTCTTAATTGTCTCCAGTTGTGGCCTGTCTTAAAGTTATTCTAGCTATAAAGCCCTTAAGAATCTGAAAGATGATTTCATACTGAATCATAAGTATGAAATTTAAAAATGTTCCCATTTTTACATTCCTTTCTTTGGTTTATCCTCACAGACACTGGATTTATTTAATTTATATGATAACCCTTGTAAAAAAGGTTGTGTGTAATTATTTTTTGGAGAATATGTAACATTGTTAGAATGTATTGTTAATTTCCATTATACTTTACATAAACTATAATATTATGTTACCATTTTTATGTTACAGAAATAATTTATCATAAACATAATATTTAATGAAACTACCCATGATAAAATTACAGTCTAGTCCCTCCTGAAATATAACTCGTAACATAGATCCTGTCACATAGTAAGCCTTTAAGAGATGTTTGTTAAATGAATGAATAAAAGAATGAATGAATAGATTGAAAACTCACTGCAGACTACAGACTAGAATATAGCAAAAGAGGAAGAATCAAAAAGCCCTCATTATCAGGACATTTGCTGATATCGTGGCCTCATAATAAATCTTATAAGAAGTATATCACAGCAAGACTCCAATACACAAAGGAGAACATATTCATATGGGAGAAATGTGGTTTAGTCTGCTAGTAAGAAACTATAGATATCTGAGAAAGCGGTCAAGTCATATAATAACATCCTACATATAAAATGCAGGTTACAAAATTTATCTGTAAGCACCAATAGCTACCATTGATTGAGAGCTTAATAAGTGCCAAATTTTCAATAAGTTTTCTCTACTCCTGGTTATATCTTACTAGGAGGGTGATATACTCTAAATTTACAAATGAGGGAACTGAGACTCTAGGGGGTAAGGGACTTAGCCTCGCATGTACAGGAAAAGCAGATTTGACTCAGGTTGGGCCACTATGCACTACGAGGTCCGTGCCTCTACCCAATGTATCACCTCTGTGAGAGGAAAAGGTAAATATCATTCCTCTATAGCACAGATGAAGCAATGAAGACTCAGAAAGTTTAAGTGACTTGCCCATAGGTGCAAAGTTAAGAGTTTTCAAAGTATGACCCATACTCAAGTTTTCCTATTCCCCATGAACCCTAAAAGAGTATCCTAACCAAAACAGTGGATAAGATAGACATATAATATATGCAGTAGTATCACTATAGATGTTTTAAAATCACCGAAACTGATAAATTAAGTAATACACAAATACATAGATGTGTAACCTCTTTTACAAGTTAGGATCATAATTTGGGTTCATCATTTTCCCAAGTGTTAGAAAATTATTTTCCTTGGTTGAGATCAACTGGTAAAACATTTACCATTCCCTTAAATTTTATTTGTGGTTTGCTAGAAGTGCTTTCTCTGATTTTCAATATATTTTAAATGAATTATGTAATATCTCACAAACTACTTATGACAAAGAGCATAAATGTTAAAATCATGTTTCCTTTAGATAACTATTTCACTTAAGAAGAACCATATTATTATTCAAGAAAATTTTTAGCTGCAGTTTTGCTTTATAATAGGCTAGTGCCCGGGGTTGTAATTCTGCCATTTTCTAAGGAGATAGGTACCTATGTATTTTATGTGTTTTAAATAACATCAGGCATTTTTAAAGACAATCTCTTTTTAAATCAGAAAATAGATGAATATGTGCTTTGATGTTAAGTTAAAAATTGGAAAATTTGTATTTTGGGCACTTTAGAAGAATTACTCAAAGAACTTTGGAAGATGAGCTGGTTTTGGTTCTATAAGTAATGCAGGTTTCTACAGTCTCAATTGTTTCAATCTCATCTACATCTCAGTTGTATATGAGAACTCAGGTTTTCTCTATACTTTTATTTGAAGCCTTTAAAATCTTAAGATACAGACTATTTTTCTAAGACTTCTTGGAAATAAAATGCTTTGGAATTACCAAAAAAAAAAAATCTTAACTATGCTCTGATATAGTAATAAAGGATTATTAAGAGAGATGTTTTTTGGGAGACAAAGAGGAAAAATGTGTGACAGAGAATTAATATCTAACCAATTATGCAACAGAGCTCCATAATACCACCCATTTTTCTGTACCGTCATCAATTAATTCATCCATTTCTTTGTGTTAATTGTCAATATGTTGATGTGTTATTGTGAATTTTATTTTATAAATTTTTTTTGTGGTTGTTAAGAGTACGAGTTTTCCAGTTAGAAAGATCTTGAAGTTTTCCAGTTATCAGATCTCCTACTTGTTAGCTTTGTGACACGGAGCAAATTTCTTAGCCTCTCTAAGCTTCAGTTTCCTCATCTGTAAAATGAGGACGATGCTGGTTTCCACGTAGGGTTGCAGTGAAGATTCAAGGCGATAATGCTTGCAAAGCACTCAGCATGGTGCCTGGCAAGCAGCTGTGCCCAGGAATATGAGCTCTTCTTATCATCCTAGAACTGATGCAGACCATCTGCAGACTTGCTTTTTCTGAGTTGTCACAAATAAAACTCAGCACAATTCAGGAAAACTGAATTATACCCAAGCTTGTGCCTTGGCTGATTAAGGAGAAAGAAAGTAAAAGAAAAAAGGCTTAGTGTCAGCTCTGGTTAAAACAGTTGGGAGAGTCTAACTGGCACAGAGTCATTCTGGTTCCCAGTGTAGACACTAGAAGGAGAATGACAGGATTGAGTACAGAGGGGGTCATTGTCCAGGAGCATCTCATGTCTATACAAGCTGCCTCCAAGGTCAGAGCATTCATTCTCCAGTATTTCTTGAGTACTTAACAGTCAGAGGTATCAAGCCCTATGTGAATACAGGGATGTAATAGTGAGCCAGATATAATCCTTTTTCTCAAGAAGATTATAATCTCATGGATTGTAAGGGAGAAAATGGTCCTGAGTCAGGCTAAGACATTGGTACAAAAGGACAGCCTATTGTGACAAAAAGAGACAGACCCTCCATTATGGGGCAAAATAATGAGTTGGAGATATAATGACCAGGAGAAAGAGCCCAGTCAGATGTCAGTGATAGAACTGCTGACCAGATAGAAGTGCTAGAAGGAGTGGGACAGGGATGGGGTGTGGGGTTAGCAGGCACAGAGGACAGACCAAAGCAGAATGGAGGTCTGTGGGAAAGATGCAGCGATAATGAGGGCCGATTCAAGACCAGTCACAAGGATGGCTCATTTTTTCCACTAGCCCCTGTTTAAATTTGCAATTTGGTACTCTTGCTCTAGGTAGGATCTCACTGCCAAATAGAACAAAAACCAAAAGGTGTGGTGCATAACCGTTTTGCATGTGCAATAAACCAGGGTCAAGACCAAATCCGATTACACCACTTCCCTATTGAAAACTTTTCAATGATATCTCATTCCCTTAAACAGAAACTTCCAGCTGTGTGGCTCTAGCCCCTGCCTTCCTCCCCAGCCTCCTCCTCCGTCCACTCACGGTGCTTCCCAGCACTGCCTCTATCCCCCCACCATGCCAAGGCCTTCCTGACTCTGCACCTCATGCTTTCAGAAGCCTGGGAGGCTCATCTCCTGCCACTCGCCTGTCAGGGTTTAGCACAAATGTCACCACCTTTAATCACCTCCACAGTCAACCAGTCTCTCTCTCTATCTCTCTTAGTTATTTCCTTCAGAGAGATTATCACAATCAGCAATTGTCTTGTTTAATTATCAGTTGACTTATTTATTGTTTGTATCTTTCACTAGTGTATGAGCTTCCTGCGGACAGAGACCTTGTCTGACCAACTTACCTCAGTATCCGCCTTCCAAAGCATGAGCCTCATATGGAGCTCAGTAGTATTGTTGTGTGGGTGGATAAGTAACAATTTGCTTGGTTTTCCAACATCCCGGCCAAATGACCATGCAGACTGTGTATGAAAATTCCTAGAGACAACAAATTCATTACCACCCATTTGACTTTACAGAAACATCCTCAGAAAGCTCCATGTATTCAGATAGAACATGCTTCTTAACTTCTGCTTAACAACTCACTCTAGGTATACCCCTGACACTTCATGAGGCTCATCT